CTACCTACCAGGAACACTGCAGGGGATGTCCCCCTAGTTTAAACAAAACTGGAACCAGATTTTTCTTTACAAGCATCAGAGATATTTGCCTAATATAACAGTTTGCTTCTTGACTCTTAGTTTTGTTTCCAAGGGTATGAGAAGCTGGAGAGCTTAACAAAAAAAAAAAATTATTCTTCCTGTTCCTCTATTTGCAAAAGAATGTCATTGCCCTCTTCCCCCCCAAGGACAGTTAAAATGTGACAGGCACTGTGCAAGCCAGCCCTTTGAATGCTCAGATGCCATCATCCGGGACAAAATGCTACACTTTCCATTACTGTTGAATAGGCAAAGTTTAGAGGTACACTCCTTTGCAGAAGCATCCCCTAGAACTACAGAAAAGACTGTGGTCTCCAACCACACTATTACCCCAATTTATCTATAAGCAAAAGGTATAGAAACACACAACCAATTCTCAAGTGTTAAGGCCAATAAGCTTATCTATTCCAGTGAAGAAAAAGATACCTTTTTAAGCTCCAGTAATCAGAGTCTGAAAACTGAAGGTGAAATCTCAACCCTAATAGAGCCGGCAGAAGTGTTTTTTTCGCCAGTGGCTGATGGGGCCAGATTTCCTCTGCAGCCCAGAGGGAACACACTTCAGTTTTAAACACATTGGACACTTCACACACATTACTTAACACTTAAAAATACACATTTCCCTATTACAACCATGACTTAATAATTATTCAGTGGAGATCTCTGGTGGAAATAAGTGCCAGGCACGTGTTCTGTTGGTCAGCTGGATTTGTTGACGATTGCGTCAAGTTTTACTCTCAAATACACTTGTGCAGTGTAATCCAATTAGGGTTTAAAGTAACACTGACACTGTTAAATTATATAATTAATAATAATAATTAATAATGTACTTGCAACAGATTATGACCAGATCAGGTATTCCAAAGGCAGTTGATCAGTATTTTACATGAACGTAGGACAACATAAACTAGGCACTTATTCCTTTTATAGGTGTCTCAGTCCCTCTGTAGTTGTTTCAACTTTGCTGATACGCGACTTCAGTGTGGTAAGAGATCTGAAGCTATTCTTAGACTGTGGCAGAAAGCACGAAGTGGTTTGCTGGCAAGTCTTATACTCCCTGCTATAATGAGAGCGAGTCACTTCATTTATTACCCTGTTAGATGGGCAATGAGAACACTGAAAGCCAGAGCATGTATAAGCTCCTCAGACCAGGAACAAGAACAGAGAAGCAACCAGTTGTTATCACTACCAGCCAGTTCCTCCCCATCCCCCTTGCAGCAGTCCAGCCAACAGTTTAGAGCATGCAGGGGGTTGTGGGGAGGGGAATTATTTACCAAATTACCTTTTGCACCTCTGCTTTCAAATTTGGTGTTTCCCTGCAGGCAAACACAGAAGCCTTCAAAAACAAAACTCAAGACTTCAGCGAGTTCACAAGGCTCCTGCTGCTGGGGCTCAAAGGCAGAGGAGGAAGGGCAGGATGAAGACAACACTGCTAGACACCAGCCAGGGAGAGACAAAGGCAACTCCTCTTGTGTTAAAAGCTGTTGAAATGTGTTGGCACAGATGCTTCAATTTTTCATTTTTGTTTCATTTGTAGATTTAATTTAACTTGGAAAAGAGATGCTCAACTCCAAACCTAAACATTTAATTCTGGGTAAAATAGTATTTTTCATCTGAATGCAAATGAATTTCCCACTTCCTATTTTTAGGTCCCAGTAGCAAACTCAAGCACACAAACCCCCAAGACTCCAGGCCACTTTTGCTATGAGCGGAGGTGCTCAGGGAAGGCAGACATGCCTTGCTGCCACTGGGTTTGCAGGAGGGAAAGGGGCACAACCCCACCAAGGAGGGCTGGAGCTGCTGAGCCAGCCCAGGGCCGCAGCACCATGCTCTCCCTCCCCAAATTCAGCAACAGCTTTGCCATTGGCCTCAAGTGGAAGGGATGCTGGGCTCACATCACGGGTTTTTCAACCTCTCCTTCCCAATGCTAAGCAAAAAAAAAAAAAAAAAAAAGCATCCACAAAAAGGGAGGCCCCTTTAGGTTTCAGTAAGCATGAAATACCATGGTTAGTATGAAGGTGTGTGGGTGCTGGGGGGAAACATGACTTCCTCCTGTTTTGCATATAGACTGAGCAGCAGCTTCAGCCCTGACAGCTTAGGCTGCTAGAGCCTGTGTAGCAGCACTGTGAAGTACTTTTTTTTTTTTTTTTTCCAAAATAGGGGGTTTATGCCTGTCTTAAGTGCTGTTGTGCCTTGTGAACAAAGAAATAAGCAAATATCTGCTTCTAAAGAGCTTAAATCAAAATTATGCAAATGTTATATTCATGACCAAAAAAAAAAAGCTCCATGTTAAAGGAAGCAGCAAAGAGAGGCATGGGTAGAAAAGGAGGAACAGAGGTCTTGAAATCCCCCCATACCACAGCATTCATAAAACCCCAAGGTTCTCGTCACAGTGCTAGTTTATATATTGGTCTGCTACATTAAAAATAAATCAGGCCACCTCTTTTTAATTTGAGCCTAATAAGGTCCCCCATACATACATTTATCTATAGATCACAGCCTGGCCTTTGGAAACAGCACAGAGTTTCTCCGCTATTTAAAAAGACTCGGGCACCTAAAACCTAAATGCACGCAGGGCCACGTCGCTGCCCCGGCACACCGTGAGCCAAAGCTGTAACTCAACCCTCGGCTTTGCCGATCGGATTCACCCCACAACGCGACACCGTGCCACGAAAACGGCAACGGGGCCGCGGGCTGACAGGCAGCACCAAACATGGAGAAGGTGGCACCGGATCAGGGGGACATAAACTTGGACAGCCAGGCTAGCAACCAGTGTTTGCAAACACAACACCAGCGATCAGATGGGGCGGCAATAAATTAGGACCAGACTGCAGCGAGCAAAAGAAATTGCTCGAAATAACAGACAGAGGCAAAAAGGGCTCCCCAGCTACCCCCAGTTTCATTTTGGTGCCTGAACCCAGGGGCTCACGCCAGCTCCCAGGCTGCTGAAGCATGATGGAAAAAACGCTATCTGACAAGTGAAACTAAATAACGAGCACCTCCAGCACCACTCCTCCGGCTCGGAAACTTAACCACAGCCTTTCTAAATGCTGCTTTATCATACGCTCAACTCCATTTGACCCCAGTTTGAGCCCCACTTCAAAGGGGGGCAGGGGAGTTAAGGTGATGGGGCGAGCTCCTCGCTACACACTTCCTCAGGTGAGGTCTGCTCTGGCCCAGCTGATCACTACATCCAAAAAGCAAAGAATTTGGGCTTCCTCTGTCTTCTAGCATGCTTCCAGGACAACTTGGAGAGGGGATTTCTGCTAAGCAAGGTCTTCAAGGCAGATGCTAATGGTTCTCAGTGGCTGAAAACCAAAAATGGCCCGAGCGATCCTGCAAGCGCTCTGTTAAACCCAACGCAGTGCCCAGGGGCAGCAACCAGCACTGGAAGGTGAGAGCAGGGGCTGCCCACAACCTGCCTGTGGGGCCCGACAGCTCGGTGCTGCCCAACTACAGCTATGCAGCTCCACCTCAGCCAGGATCTTACCTCAGGTACTGAAAAACTGCCAGTCTGAGGGCCACAGAAGCTTCAGTGTTTTCAGAGAAACAGAGGAAAAACACCTTCAGCATCCCACTTTCCTAAGGATAGGAAGGCTTGCAGACTACAGCCATGTATCTAGTTGGGGGGGTTGTATGACAGAGTGATTACCACCAGAAATGCAGGACTTCAGTGGTAACCTCACTCTGCAAAGCACCTCCTCTCCCTCTTTTACAGATGAAGGGCACCACTGTGACCTGAAAGACTCAATAAAAGCACACTGGGAACCTGTAGCAAGTATTGAAGCAAGCCCAGCATAACCATACACTTGCCTGGAGCAAGGAGAAAGTTCAGTGCAATTTTAAGCTTCCACAAGATACACCCACAGAGGAGTATCTCACAGGACACTTTGCTCCTATAAAGCATGAAACTAAGCAGAGGAGAGGGGATAAACTATCAGCCTAATCTGTTCTCCTACCACATTGTGCAGGTTGGAAGTAGTAAGCTGTACAGAAAAATTAAGTGAATTAAATACATACAGTATAAGCTAAGCAACAACTCCTTCCCTGGTTTCTCCTTCCACAGTTTCTCAGTGCCACAGCCAGTGTCTGCCAACCATGCCTCTGAATGGCACAAACATCCAGGGTAAAGCAGATTCAATCTGGAAGGCTGCATTGTTATAAATAGGAGCTACAGAATGAAGTGAAGAAATAGAAGTGTCCTTGGATGCTGCCTTAATTGGAGGGGCTCATTTCCCCCAAAGCATTAAGGCATAGACCAAACAACATGTTAAAACAGGAACCTTTACAGAAAGCATAGGTACGTGTAAATGCAACGCTTTCAGATCACTTTTTGAACAAAGTATCTCCCTCCTTCCATTATTCTGACCCCATACCACCAAAAAAAGGCTTGATTGCTCCTCAAGTTTTGCTGACTGGTCCATGACGCAATGCCTCAGACCAAGTGGCCTCTGTCATCTTTCCTCCTCCCTTCTTCTACTCTCCCACTGCCCCTTTCCAGCACCTATGAGTTCAGTTTTACATGGACCAAAATAAGGCTGCTAAGTAAAGGTCAGTCTGATGAGCTAAAAGAGTATACCCTCCCAGACCTCTGCCCCTTGGGCTATAAATACTCAGAGCAAGCACTGGGGGAAATTCTTTGTCTGCACAGACAGACACCAGGAAGCACGTTTCCTCCTCCTTCCAGTTCCCACCCCCTCTGCTACTCAAGGACAACAGTCAGAGAAAAGCAAGCATCTCCATGCTACCAGCTCCATGATCTGTCCACAGAAGGCATTTGCTTTGCCACTGGTGACTCGAGGTATGCAGGCCTTCCTAGAGATAAACGGACGCTTTCACAGTTCAACCATCAGCAAGGCTGACACCAGAGTACACGCGCTGCAAAGCAAGCCATGAGACTACGTGCGGGCAAAGAGGAGGATTACCTTTTAGGACTAGGGGTTCCTTGCCTTCTCGCTTGAGCGACTCCAGCACTATGTGGAGTGGCTGGGAAGGCATTACTCTGCTTGGCTCATTGGTATTCTCATCATATACTATGATTTCTTTGGAAAAGATCCTCTTGAAGGAGTCCTTGCCTTCCCGGCAGGAGATCAAGTCCAAGACGGTGATCTTGCCCTGCTGGAGCCTTCTCCGGCTGATCTTGTCAGAACAGTTAATGTGGACAGCCCCTTGAATGTGGCTCTTATTATACTCCATGAACGGCCTGCAGTCAATGATGACAGGCCCTTGGTTCTGTTGGTGGCTCTTGCTGCATTTGGTCATCTTCTTCGCCAGATCATTGGGGTAAATTATCTTGATGCTAGCGAGTTGCTTGGTGGTGCCTGAGACTGGGCTCCCCACTCCGCCCAGCGGGCTCAAGCTGCCGGCATTCTCATTGCTGTTGACCATTTGGTTGGCAGGGCAGGCAGTGGAGGCTCCGGCGTTAGCGCTGCTGGTGCTCGCTTGAGTTTGGGCCTGAGTGTCCTTGTCGTATGTTGCCACAGTGCAGCAACTGGCACTGCTGCATCCACAACTCAGGGAGCGTGCAGAGCCGTTAGATGAGGGCATATACGTGAGATTAGCAGTCTTTAGGGACACGACAGCTGTGCCGAGCAGACTGGAGTGGCTCTCACTGGCAGAAGAGGCAGATTCAAGATAGCTAGAGTCTAAACAAAGGTTGAGATCCTGAGGTCTCACTGGCCTCGAAAGTGCCACTACTACCCTGTCGTCTAAAGGAGATGGAGGCATGAGGAGGCTGAGTACTAGCAAGTTAAGAAGAACTCAAGATCACCCTGCAAAAGAAAAAAAGGGAGGGGGAATGGGAAGAAGAAAAAGGTGATGAAAACAGATCATGAAATCACATAAGCCTACAGATACAGCAACTTACTTTGCCAACACCCATTATCCACAGCTAACAACCTAACAACCCCTTCTGACAGTTACCAGCTCACAGTACTTGCTAAAAAACCTTTTCCAATCCTGCAGCGAATACTTCAGCTATCTGCACGTGTGCACATGGCACGCAGAATACACGCGACTAGCCTGGACTGAGCAGCTACACCCAGGAGGAGGCATTTGTCTACATGCAGATGGTGCCGAGCTATTCTGAAACCCCAGGCTGCAAGGAATGCAACTGATAACAACAGAGAGGCACGTTCTCTTGTTCCCACTGCTTACTGCAAGGGAAGCAACTACTGAGCTGACTCTACTACTGGGAGGAACGCACGGGAGCTGAATGTGTCAGTGGCAACATGCAACTTTTCCAGCAAGCTGGAAGAAAATTAGCTCGTGAATATATTGTCTGATATGGACACAAACTTGAACACATACAGCTAAACAAAAAACACACAGGAGAAAAAAACCAGGAAAATTAGGTTCTGGAGACCTTCACAAAAAGCAAGCATGCGCCTTGCGCTTCCATCCCCCTGTTAGAGGTTAGTCCAGCCCCAGTTAAGTCCCCAGCTCCAGGCCCAGGAAGGCTGCTGATCTCCAGCAGTCCCAGAGGCAGAAGTTCCCTCCTCCCCAGCACATTTCACAGCTTCTAGAAAGAGGGGTCCCCTCTACTCCAGCCAAGGTCACAGCCCGCACAACCTCTGCCTTGCCACTTGCTAAGGGGCAGCACGCAGGATTAGACACCCCCCCACTTTCCACTCGGGAGAGAAGGAAGACAACAAGAGCAAAACCACCTAAGAAAGCCCAGACAGTGCCTCCCCTTCCTCAGCAACTTTTGGGGCAGCTGCGGCTCTCGCTGGAAGGCACATCCTAGCAGCAACTTCACCAACTCCACCAATTCCCCAAAAGCGGGCGAGTGCTTGCAACACCGGTTCGCCTCCCCAGCCGGCTCTGCACCGGGCCCGTCGATAAAGGGGCACGGAGATGCCCCGTCCCAAAAAGCGAGACCTCCTCCTCCCGGGGCGGCTCGGAGGACGCTGCCGCCGCCTCATTCCCCCCCCCACGCCAGCAGCCACCGCTTTACGGAGCGAACCCGCGGGCACCTCCGGAGCGAGACAAGGTGCCGCGACCCACCCGCCCGGGAGACGGCGGAGGTCCCGGGGCCGGGCGGAGCGGCCTGGCGGCGGCAGCGGCTCAGCCGGGAGGTTTTCCAGCCCGTTCTTGTTTTCCCAAAGCTCCCCTCGCCCTTTTCGCCGTTTAGAAAAAGGATAAACGAGCCCTGAGCGCGTCCGCCTGATGCAATTTAAAAATAAATAATAGTAGTAAAATTAAATAAACGAGGGAGACAACCCAGCTCCCCTCGCTAGGGACGGGGGAAGCAAGAAAGAAGCTCAAGAGAAGCGGGAAACTGAAGTTTTACCCCCGAGCGCAGGGACCCAGGGCCGCCGCCACCCGCGCGGCGAGCCG